CACCTTGCAGTGTTCTGGGACATCTGAGTCAGCAGCTGGATCTCAGGGTGAGGGGGAACCACAGATTAGGTGGCTGGTCCATGGAGCCTGTGGAAACCGTGATGGTGCTAAATCACTGCACTCCAAATGGACTCAGACTAAAATTTACCAAAGCCTAGTCTCAAAATCAGATCTGCAGATCCCAGTTTTCAAAATGCAAGGAGTGCCAGCTGAGTTTCTGTGAGCTTTTACAAAGGCTCTGAAATTGCATGTGCAACATTTTCCTCTGGCCTAACAACTGCAGAGCTCTGGTTTTATTTGAAAAGGTTGCCACAGCGCTCCAGAACTCAGAGGTTATTGGCAGTAATGTGAATTTTGGTGCCTTTGAGCTGCCCGGAAAGAAATTCCTCTGCTGGGGCTTGGTGCAGAGCAGGGCTTGCTCAGAGGCTGTGGGGCACCTGGCCTGTTTGGTCACATTATTATATAAACCACCAGCAACGATGGCACTAAATATACATCTCTGGGGTGCAGGGGTGACCCCACGCCTCCAGGGCCCAACCACAGCCATCCCTTGTCAGGGAACACAAGGGAGACGACCCACATGATGGGATCAGGAGAGAGACTGCTGCTGTCTCTCCAAGCTCACAGCTCTGCAGTGGGATTCAGGCTCTGCCTGCGCCAGAGAGACATCCTGTCTGGAACAAGCGTGCTGTTGTTCTGGTGACCCTGGCAAAGCTCAGAGTCCCCAGCCAGAGACTGCTGGAGAGGTTCAGCATGTCCCTGCCTCTGGACTCTGGTACCCAGGGTCCTGCACTGCTTTGGGCTGGCATCTGACATTACCAGTGGTGAGGAAAAAAAAAATGTCAAATTTGGGAATGAAATGGGCATTTTTAAATGCTCCATGGGATTTTATTCATTTACTTTGCCACGGGGTTTCCTCACGCTGCAGCCCAGGCAAGGAGGAAGCAGTTGGGTCTGGTGATCTGTGGCCTCCCCTGGTTAGTCAAGATGGTCACGTTGTGAGTCAGGCACTGGCCTCCACATGAGCCATCAGCAGACAGAGTGTTTCAGGAGACTTTGACCAAGTGGGGTTGTGCAATCCAGCCAAGGCCTCCTCGAACGTTTTCAGAGAAGCATTGTGCAACGATCACTCATTTACTCACAAGGACAGGATCCCAGCGTGAGAGAGAGGAAGAGGGAGACCTGATGAACCCGGCAGCTTCTGCGAAGAAAAACCAAAAAAGCCCAAGCAGCTACTTCGTGCATGGAGCTGGTTTAATGCCACTCTGCCCCCAGTGACACAACCCGTCAATAATTCACTGAAGTAACTACACTGGCAGGTCATATATCACCTAAAATAAAAGCCATTGAGATCAAAGGCAGTTT